GATATAACAAATTTCGGTGGTGCCTCAGAGTCACCGCTCGAGTGCAAAGGGTTAACTTATGAAAATCCTGTTCCCAAAATATTAGGTCTAACGGAAAGTTCTGTCCGTTTTTGAATTGAAATATAACACAATTTTCATACATTTAATAATATTTATTGTAGAATATACTTTCCATCGTTACTTATGACTTCTTGCCAGCGCGATGGCAGCTTGTAAATGCCATTTTTAAAAAATGATTTATTTTTAGAGGCGAAGAACTCGACTAGTGCTCGGTTGACATCAGCTTCAGTTTTGAATTTTTGTTCCTGTAAAAAGTTTTGCAAAGAGAGAAACAAGTGATAATCGGAGGGTGCTAGATCCGGGGAGTATGGTGGATGCGACAGAATTTGCCAGCCTAGCTCTGCGATTTTCTGACGAGTCGCCAAAGCAGCACGTGGTCTGGCATTATCATCGGTAGCCATGTTTTCACGATCGCGTCTCACTTAATAATGACACGAGACATCTTTGTTTCAGTTTATTTAGGAGAGTACACGTGTGTAAATGCAATGATAAAGAGAGAAAGTCGTATATGTCTCAAATCAACGTGTGCATATGGATTGAAACTTGAAGTGACACTATCGGACAGAACTTTCCGGTAGACCTAATAATTATCGATCCAGTCGAATAATCTCTCCGAAATTGTTCCCTTGCGTGTTCATTCGAAGAAATTCTTCGAAAGTCTTGAACAAAATTTTCCCGAACTACAGAAACACTCCGGCAAGGAATATTCGAATAACGTTCGGCGTTCCAAGCGATTTATTCGAAATATAATTCGAAACGAACGTTTCGGTCGCCTCGCTTTCGCTCGATCGTTTCCATCGCTAGGCGTCGCTTCCGATCCTTCCGAACGCAACGGCCTGCTCGACGGCGGCTCGGCGCGGTGTGACGTCACGTGGCTCGGCGCGGTGGTGCGAGATAGCGCGGTATAGGTGATATAACGTTCGGGGAAGGGGAAAGACGGTTATCGCAGCGCAAACCTGAGATAAGGAAGGCAAACAGAAACGCGCATCGTACGGTCTCCGTGCCCACAGCACGGCGTACCACCGGATTTCCTTCTGATTATGGTTACCAATATTTAAGCCCGTGACGTGATTACCGCGTTCCTCGTGTCAACGTACCTTTTTCTATTTTTTTTTTCCCCGTGTCGCCGTCGCCGTCGCCGTTGTCGTACCCGATACCGATTTTTCGTTGCTATTTCAACAACGTCGCCAACGATTCCCTCGAAAATCTCCATCGACACCGCCGCGCGCAATTTTATAACCTCCATAGGAACAAGAATTGCAAACGCTAACGAGGATATATGTTTCGATCATTGACAGATCTCGCTGTTGCGCCGGCAGAACTGCGAGCTTCAGAAAACGGTGATCGAGCTGAACGCGAAACAGAAAGATTCGGTAAGTCAACGAAATACGACATTTTCACCGCCTTACTTTGTTAAGTGTTCCACCGAAAACATAACCCGGCTGCTAACCGGCGTCGAGAAAAATCCGCGAAGATGATGCTCGTTTCTCGTCAACGACGAGAATCATTCGAAGCCGCGACAATGCAGAAAAAAAACGTAGCTGCTCGTTCTATCGCGAAGGTTCGAGTAACAGTGTCGTTTCTTAACGCGCCGTTTCTTTACCGTTCTCTACCGTTTCTTTTCAAGTATGTACGTACCCGACGCGAACTGTTCGCGTTCGGTTCACTCTCGTAGGTCGCGCCGCGCCGTGTATATGCTAAGTAGCGGACGATGATGCAGATAGAAATCTGCTAAACACTCGCTCCCCCCTCCCGTATCTTGCCCCGTTCGTGCCGCTTGCGCTGTAACGCGCTTCTTCGAGACGTGCCGCCGTTTGTTACCGTTGCGTATTCGCACACCTCGGGAGCCGAAGCTGTTTCGAAGTGCTCGAAAAGAATCCGCCGCCCTCTCCGATCGTTAAACCGGCAATTCCCGGAGACAATCGGCAATGTCACTTCAAGCGCGCCTTCCTTTAGAAAAACAATTTCGCGCGGGATGTTATTTTTCGGCGACTTTTTAACCCATTGACTGCCAACTACGAGATATGTATCTCGTGGTAAACGTCTGTACCAAAACTGTCAGCTACGAGATATCATAGTAGTGGGTGCTGCAAATTTAGATTGGCTACAAATGGCTGTTTGAGTTAGGAACTATTAGAAAGGATGAATGAAAAATGTATACAGGGCGTCCCAAAAATGTCTCGCAATCCGAAAGTGGCGGGTTCCTCGGGTCATTCAATATTTAAATATATGAAGCTACTGTTATCAATGAGAAAATATGAGACTTAAAGATGCGACAATATTTGTGTAGAAAAGAGCCTTCGCATGCCATTTCGACATAGAGATGAATTTCACGAGCAGGAGAAAACGCGTCGCTTCCTTTTTCCTTCCTTTTTTTTTGTCGAAACACGTGCACCCAGAGGCTACTATACAGGGCGTCCCAAAAATGTCTCGCAATCCGAAAGTAGTGGGTTTCTCGGGTCATTCGAAGCAACTTTTTCCTTTACGAAAATTTTCTCCGAGGCACCGTTAACGAGTTATTAACGAAAAACAGTGACCAATGAGAGGCGAGCTCGCCTAGCGCTTGGCGGCCGAGCCAATGAGCGAACGACAGCCCAGTTCCGCTCATTGGCTCGGCCGTCTCGCGTCAGCTGATCTCTCGCCTCTTATTGGTCACTGTTTTTCGTTAATAACTCGTTAACGGTGCCTCGGAGAACATTTTTGTAAAGGAAGAAGCTGCTTCAAATGATCCGAGGAACCCGCCATTTCCGGATTGCGAGACATTTTTGGGACACCCTGTATAGTGTAGAGCAGGGGTGTCAAACTCAAAAGCTAACATGGGCCAAATAAACAATGCTTAACTTTAGGTGGGCCGCAAAAAAAATCAATGTTCATAGAAACAAATATTTTTATTTTGACTAGTACATTGTAATAAACATATATAAAGTTAAATTATTGTTTACGTCCTGATGCTTGACATCTCTTCTCTGATACTATCTTTCCTATTTCGGGAGAAATTTTATTGGCCGAGACTATTTCTATTTTATTTTTACTTTGCGTCGGATATATTGACTGGGCCGCTAAAATGTTCATCTCGGGCCGCAAGTTTGACACTTCTGGTATAGAGAACATATTGATTATCAAAAAAAAAATACTGTAAATGCCATTGCAATATTATATCGGTAACTTAATATTATTATATTTTGTAAAACTTCGTGTTCTTTTTTCAAATAAAACCGTGGCACACAGGGCAAGACGCGCTAAATTTGCGTGGCAGTCGATGGGTTAAGCGATTGTCGAAGCAACGAAAAAATTGCATCGCAATAATTTCTCGAAATTGTTGACAAAACGCGTGGTTCGACGAGAGTTCTCCCACTGCGAGAGATCTTTGCGACAATCCTGTACGCATAAACAACGACCACGGGCGCGCAGACGTATGCTTTATAAAATTGGCGAAAAAAATATCCATCGATGAGCCGCGCGTTAACAACTGTTTGGGGTCGCGGTCGCAATCGTGTTTGGAGTTGCAGTCGCAGTCGCAAACTAGCACGATTCACGAGCGATGCACCCTCGGCTACGGGCAGTCGCATTCAAAACCAACTGTTGCTTCTTCAACGTTCTAAAGAACGTTCAGATTCCAGTTGTTAGGCAATCGCAAGGATGATCAACGATCCACGATCGAGATCGGGTGTCGTCGAATTGTTTGCCAACAGTTGTACGATTATGCTTCGAATTCGTTCGAATTGCAAATACGATTGATCGAACGCATTCGACTGAATTTTAGGATCCTCTACAGAGGGAGAAATATCGTTGATATCGACCACCGGTTTGCCGATCAAAGAGATCCGGAAATCCTCGTTCGAATCGGTATCGGTTCGCGGGATACAAAATTTCGAAAGGCAGCGAACGTAAGAAGCGACATNCTCGCCTCTTATTGGTCACTGTTTTTCGTTAATAACTCGTTAACGGTGCCTCGGAGAACATTTTTGTAAAGGAAGAAGCTGCTTCAAATGATCCGAGGAACCCGCCATTTCCGGATTGCGAGACATTTTTGGGACACCCTGTATAGTGTAGAGCAGGGGTGTCAAACTCAAAAGCTAACATGGGCCAAATAAACAATGCTTAACTTTAGGTGGGCCGCAAAAAAAATCAATGTTCATAGAAACAAATATTTTTATTTTGACTAGTACATTGTAATAAACATATATAAAGTTAAATTATTGTTTACGTCCTGATGCTTGACATCTCTTCTCTGATACTATCTTTCCTATTTCGGGAGAAATTTTATTGGCCGAGACTATTTCTATTTTATTTTTACTTTGCGTCGGATATATTGACTGGGCCGCTAAAATGTTCATCTCGGGCCGCAAGTTTGACACTTCTGGTATAGAGAACATATTGATTATCAAAAAAAAAATACTGTAAATGCCATTGCAATATTATATCGGTAACTTAATATTATTATATTTTGTAAAACTTCGTGTTCTTTTTTCAAATAAAACCGTGGCACACAGGGCAAGACGCGCTAAATTTGCGTGGCAGTCGATGGGTTAAGCGATTGTCGAAGCAACGAAAAAATTGCATCGCAATAATTTCTCGAAATTGTTGACAAAACGCGTGGTTCGACGAGAGTTCTCCCACTGCGAGAGATCTTTGCGACAATCCTGTACGCATAAACAACGACCACGGGCGCGCAGACGTATGCTTTATAAAATTGGCGAAAAAAATATCCATCGATGAGCCGCGCGTTAACAACTGTTTGGGGTCGCGGTCGCAATCGTGTTTGGAGTTGCAGTCGCAGTCGCAAACTAGCACGATTCACGAGCGATGCACCCTCGGCTACGGGCAGTCGCATTCAAAACCAACTGTTGCTTCTTCAACGTTCTAAAGAACGTTCAGATTCCAGTTGTTAGGCAATCGCAAGGATGATCAACGATCCACGATCGAGATCGGGTGTCGTCGAATTGTTTGCCAACAGTTGTACGATTATGCTTCGAATTCGTTCGAATTGCAAATACGATTGATCGAACGCATTCGACTGAATTTTAGGATCCTCTACAGAGGGAGAAATATCGTTGATATCGACCACCGGTTTGCCGATCAAAGAGATCCGGAAATCCTCGTTCGAATCGGTATCGGTTCGCGGGATACAAAATTTCGAAAGGCAGCGAACGTAAGAAGCGACATCGATGCGGCGTCGTTTCACGCGATAGGAACGTTCGCTAGGAATGCCAGATAAGCCGATAACCGTAACCTCGCACTTTATTTCGTATCTTGGGCCAACAAAGGATCGGTCCAACCTCTCCCTTCCACACCCGGTGGCCTCCTAAATGCTGTTCGAGGAGACTCGCTCGTTTCCTCCCTCGCTGCCGATTACGCCGTTACGCGTTACCGGGAGGGTATACGGTAATGTCTTCATAATTGACGCTCAGATTGTCCGCATAAATGGACAATCTGGGAAGACGAGTCTTGCGAATTCGAGCGTTGCGACTCGTTTTTGTAGTCACCGATTTTCGATAATATTAATAATAAATAATAAATAATAATATTATATATATATTATTTATAATATTTTACTATATACTGTATACTATACTATATATTATTATATATAATATATATACTATATATATAATATATATATATATAATATTATATATATAATAATAATATTAATATTATAAATAATATTTTCAAATAATCGTATATTCTCTACCAAAATTGTCCGTTTTTGTGGACAATCGGAGCGTCAATTAGAGAGACATTACTGTATTGCGTCTCCTCGCGTCTCGCACGTCGCATGCCGCGTATCGCAGACCTTCGTTTGTCGCGTTCGACAAACAAATGGTTCAAACGAGCGTCTGACATACCAGGTCGCACGGGCATTATGCGTTCGGCACCCGAAGGAATATAAAGTAGTTATACAGGGTGTCCCAAAACTGTCTCGCAATCCGAGAATGGGAGGTTCCTGAGGTAATTTGAAGTAAGTTTGTCCTTGACGAAAATGCAATCCACGGCTTTGTTTACGAGTTATTAACGAAAAAGAGTGACCAATGAGAGGTGCGATAACGCTGGCGCAAGGCGGCCGAGCCAATGAGCGGAACTGGGCTGTCGTGCGCTCATTGGCTCGGCCGCCAAGCGCTAGGCGTGCTCGCCTCTCATTGGTCAGTGTTTCTCGTTAATAATTCGTAAACGAAGCCACGGATTGCATTTTCGCTAAGGAAAAAGTTACTTCAAATGATCCCATGAACTTCTCGTTTCTGGTTTGCGAGACATTTTTGGGACACTCTGTAGAACGAACAACTTAACGGGTACAAGGGTAGAAGAGAGAACAACAGGATACGGACACGAAAATTTTTGAAAATTTTCGTCGAGCAGTTTTATCAAAAATTCG